TACTTAAATATGTAAGAGTACTTACCCTTTAATTTAGTTACTGTACACATGTTTCTGTGCATAACTCAACGGGCAAAGAGAGGATAGAGTCTTTGCATGATCTGAGAGCAATTGCAGGGCACTATGTTAATAAAACCCAATGACACAGGATTAAATCACTGTGCAAAAGCCAGGTCTTGAGGTAGGAATGGGCATGGCTGAGTGAAGAGCTGAGGAGAGAAGAGAGAGAATTACATGGGTGGAATGGCATCCTCAGAGAAGGCTGCAAAGTGAGGTGGTCATGCAGGAGTGAAGGAAAGGAGGTATGGGGCCCACTGAAAGAAGCAAAAGGTCTCGTGTGGAGAAACTCTGAGGTTTGCAGTGTCAGGAGAATGGTGCATCTGGTGGGAAAGGCTGTATCACCAGGCTGAAGAAGTTGGCTCCGTGGCTTCTTAAATAGTACAGCGACATTACCACATGGATTGTTGCAAGTTATTCTAGAAGTGGCATATAGGGGAATTAGACCAGGGAGAGATGTTGGCACAGTATCCTGGAAAGCTATTACAAATAATCCATGCATGAAGTGACAAGAGCTGTCGGGTTATAGACTCTCAATGTGTAATCTCTTAGGTTTATATGGAATTTCAGAGATCCCAGAGCACGTTCACATAAATCATCTAATTTATCTAATTAGATCCTGTCAACCCTTTTTTATGGATGAGGATATGTAGATTCAGAGCAGTCAAGCAGCCTGTTCACAAGTTTTTAGTGACAGAACCTAACCTACAGTTCAGTGCTTTTCAATGAATTTTTACCACTTTTAGTGAAATTCTTACTTTCTAAAACTATTGCCTATTTTAGGTCCCCACTTACTTTTTTTTTCCATGTTGTGCTAATTTGAATTTGTTCTACAGCACTTGTCTGTCAGTTGGCCCTTGACAGCAGCATAAGCAAAAGCTAAATGCCATAGTTCACAGCTCTTACAAACATCGAAAACCTTTGAGCAGTGAAAAGATGGCTAAGTATCACCATCTTGTAGAACTTCTCACATAACTGAAAGATAATGTTCCTAACAAATACCAAAAAAAAAAAAAGCCTCTGTCAGTAGAAAGTTTTTGAAGTGTTTTAGATGAATGGAGAGTGAGACTTTAAGGAGCCTCAAATTGGCATTGTTGAGTAAAGGTGGTAAAGTTGCCCATGACTTCCAATTACAGGCAAAATCAACCTTAAAAGAACAGGAGTTACTATCTTTTAAGGAAAGTATTAATCTGAACAAATATTCTGGTATATGATGTCTTTTATTTAAAATGTGAATGAAGGTCGGGCAGGCTAGCTCATGCCTGTAATCCCAGCACTTTGGGAGGCTAAGGCAGGTGGATCACATGAGGCCAGGAATTCGAGACCAGTCTGGTCAACATGGTGAAACCCCGTCTCTACTGAAAATACCAAAGTTAGCTGGGTGTGGTGGAGCACACCTGTAATCCCAGCTAGTCGGGAGGCTGAGGCAGGAGGCAGGAGAATCTCTTGAACCCAAGAAGCAGAGGTTGCAGTGAGCCAAGATCACGCCACTGCACTCCAGCCTGCACGACAGAAGGAAACCCGTCTCAAAAAAATAAATAAATAAAATAAGTGAATGAACTCTTCAGTGGTGAAATGTTGAACATTAGCCTTCTAATTAATTTATTCAAGTATACAGCAGGCATTTTGAAAGTCATTATTTTTTGTTTTGGTAAAAAACATAATATGTAAGTTGCAATCTTAACCATTTTTAAGTGTACAGTCCAGTAGTTTTACACATGTTCACACTGTTGTGCAAATGATCTCTGGAACTATTTCATCTAGCAAATCTGAAACTCCAAACCTATTAAACAACTATTCCTTTCCCCCTCCCTCCAGATCCTGGTAACTACCATTGTACTACTATTCTGTTTCTATGGATTTGGAAAGTCATGAATTGTTTTAAAATGTTAATCTGAAGAAACATGTATTGAGTACATACCAGGTGCTGGGCATTCTTCTTGATGCCAGGCCCAGAGAGAGGTAAAGGTTGGAGGAAGATTCCTAGAGGGTCTTTGTTACACTGGATTTGGTGGCATGTAAAACGTAAATCAAAATAAAAATCAATGTCTATTAAATCTTACATGAGTGATGGAAACAGGACATTTTGTCAGATGCTAGCAGTAATATTTATGCTGAGTTGCTGAGTTTTGTGTCACCTTTCCAGACCCGGAAATGCTGAGGGAGGTACCTTAACGGAGAAAATGTGAGCCAGATAACTTGGGAATATTGGTTATCAGATTGTGTTAGGTTGCCATTAAAAAGAATGGCAAAAACCACAATTACTTATGCACCAACCTAATACTTATTAATAATTTATGATTGTTAGTGAGGGGAAATAATGATTGAGAAGGTGTTCTGCTAAATTAGCTTGGGTGTGATTGTTGCCTATTTCAAGACTCACAAGAGTATCTAAAAAGGCTCCCTGGGGGAAAAGTACCACACAGAGAAAAAGGGGGGAAATTCAGTTGGTTTATGTCTATGCATTGTACAAAGCTGGAGCTAGGAAGCAGCCTTTTGGGGTGCTTTCATTGTTTATATGAAGAAACATTGTAGTAACTTAGCAGTTGAATGCTCCCCACCTAAAAAAACTGTAGTTGGCTGGGCACAGTGGCTCACACCTGTAATCTAGCACTTTGGGAGGCCGAGGCGGGCGGATCACAAGGTCAGGAGATCGAGACCATCCTGGCCAACATGGTGAAACCCCATCTCTACTAAAAATACAAAAATTAGCTGGGCACGGTGGTGCATGCCTGTAGTCCCAGCTACTCGGGAGGCTGAGGCAGGAGAATCACTTGAACCTCGGAGGCGGAGGTTGTAGTGAGCCGAGATCGCCCCACTGCGCTCCCGCCTGGCAACAGAGTGAGACTCCGTCTCAAAAAACAAAACAAACAAAACTGGAGTTAATGTTTAAGTCAATTTAGAGGATACGTAATTTACATGTTTTCCTGAAATTTCTTGGAAACCACTTTAAGGGGTTCTGTATAGCAGTGGTCCCCAACCTTTTTGGCACCAGGGACTGATTTCATAGAAGACAATTTTTCCTCCAGTGACTGGAGGTGGTAGTGGTGTGGGAGTGGGGGTGGTTTAGGAATGATTCAAGCGCATTACTTGATTATTATTATGCACTTATATTATATTTTATTACGTTGTAATATATAGTAAAATAATTATACAACTCACCAAGGTAGAATCAGCTGGAGCCGTGAGCTTGTTTTCCTGCAACAAGATGGTCCTATCTGGGGGTGATAGAAGACAGTGACAGATCATCAGGCATTAGATTCTCATAGGAGTGTACAACCTAGATCCCCCGCATGTGCAGTTCACAATAGGGTTTGCGCACCTATGAGAATCGAATGCCACCGCTGATCTGACAGGAGGCTGAGCTTAGGCGGCAATGCAAGTAATGGGGAGCAGCTGTAAATACAGATGAAGCTTCTCTCACTTGCCTGCCACTCACCTCCTGCTGTGCAGCCCAGTACTGGTCCGTGGCCCAGGGGTTGAGAACCCCTGCTGGATAGAATGCAAAATAATAGAAAAATCTAAACAAAGCTGAGTAGCCAGATGATGAGGATTTGGCAAATTGCAACTAAGTTGTATTCACTAACTGGTCTCCTCAGAAAGCTTATTCCTAATATATGATAGAGCTTGCTGATATTTGTCAAGGGCTTTGTGGTTCCTTGTCATTGACAGTGATAAATAAGTTTTGAACTACCATAGTGGGGGAAAATATGTGAGGGAAGGGTTGAACTTTTGAAGTGCCAGAGCCCTTCAAAAGGCATAGCCCTTCGAAAGCCAAAACTCTTGACTTCAGGTTAGAATCATCTGGGAAACCTAAAAGTTACCAGTGCCCAGGTCCCACCCTTGACTAATTAAGTCACGATCTCAGAATTTGGGGAAGGGGGTGGGCCTAATCATGAATTTTTGTGTGTGTTTTTTTAAATATTTCTCAGTCATCTTAGTCCATTTTCTGCTGCTATGACAGAATACCTGAAACTGCATAGTTTATAATGAACAGAAATTTATTTAGCTTATAGTTCTGGAGGCTGGGAACTCCAAGGGTATGGCATCAGCATCTGTTGAGGACCTTCATGCTTCATTATCTCATGCTGGGAGACTGGAAAGGGAAGTACGCTCGTGCAGAAAAGAATGTAGGAGGAGCAGGACTCACTTTTATAAAAACCCACTCTCAAGATAACTCACTCCTGTGATAAGGACAATCCATTCTTACAGGCTCCACATGAATCAGCTCTGAAAGGTCCCACCTCTTAGTACTTAGTATCTCTAAGGTCCCACAATGGCAATCTAATTTCAACGTGAGCTTTGGAGAGGACATTCAGATCATAGTACCAGGCAATTCTAGAGTACAGTCAGGGCTAAAGTCTATTCTGCCTGTTTTCAGCTCTAGCAAGTAATCTGTGGGGAACATTTATTAAAATGTGTATAAAATACTTGCTAACTGTTTAAAATAGATATGCAGGCTTTCCCTCCCGTACTGTCAAATATGCAGATTTTTTTCCATAGTCAATTGCAAAATCTGAATAAAAAAATGGAAGAGGATGGAGGAATATTCTTTAAAGAGGTCCCATAGCCTTCTTTAGGGAAGGATTGGGGTTGAGGAGTAGATAGGAAGCATTGTTTACATGTACTTCAGGAAGTTGGAAATATGGCATGTTCTCAATCTATCTAAATTATATAACTTTGCAGGATGTGATCCATTTGTGTCAGAATAATGAGGCATATAATACGTTGCATTTAACATGTGTGGGAATTCTTTGCTGAGTAATTAGCATTCCTTTCTCCAGCCTGTATTCAGAGGAAACATACCATTCACACCCTCTCTGTGTTCACATTTTCCAGTGCGTTGGAGAGCTTTTTTTCAATAGAAATCTTTGTCCTCTTCCTAATGAGACTTGGATTACATCTGAAGAAACTTAACATATCTTTCTTTGTTTTTCTGGCAGGAATTGATTTTAAAATCAGAACGATAGAACTAGATGGAAAGAAAATTAAGCTTCAGATATGGTAAGTAAACACACACACAGAGTTTCTGCTTTAATTGGGAATTGAAAGTAGGAATTAAATGTGAATTGTAATAAGTTAGAGTCATCTTGTGATAGCTAAAACATCTTTTCTTTATCAGAAGCAAGGGGAAATAAGTAAGTATTGGGAATCCTTCAAAGGTATCTCCACCAAGAGCTGGGAAGGTGAGAAAGGGTACTAACTGTTGGAGCCAGAAGAGATCCCATAGCTCATCTTTCCGAAACTACAATTTTTGAGGGGAGGAAACTAAATTCTAAGGAATGCAGATTACTTCTTCGTCACAGTTGTTGTAGCTTTGAAATCTGGTAAGACAAAGTAATCACGTCGTAGGAACCTTTGGCAGGAAGTACAGATCTAGGTTCTAGCCATGATGCCTCCACATTGATGGCTTTGGGCCCGTTATTTCCCTTCTTGGTCTCACCTTTTCCTCACTTGTAAATTGGTTGGATTGATGACACTGGAGGTTCCCCTCCAGCTATGATATTTTATGATTTATTTGCATATTTCTTATTAAGTAGAAAAATGAAGACAGAGAAAAAAAAGAAAAAAATTATGTCATAGTTCAGGCTGCTCTGTAAGATATTTTTAAACACACTTTTTTTCTCATACATAGCACAGTACTTCTGACACCAGATGTCAGGGGGTTTCCCCTACCAACACCAGGTAATTCTCCAGCCGATGCCAATTGGGTGTCCTATACTTTTTAATTTTCTTTTTCTTTCTGGGTTGTCCTATAATTGAAGTCAATTCTGATACTGTCTACCTGGAGATAGCGTCAGATCCCACAGGTTGAGGGCTGGGTCCCGCAGTGTCCCCACTTCAGCTGCCAGTTGCAAGTACAGGTTAAGTATCCCTTATCCAAAATGCTTGGGAACAGAAGTGTTTCCGATTTTGGATTTTCTTGGATTTTGGAATATTTGCATATACATAATGAGATATCTTGGGGGTGGCACTCAAGTCTAAACACTAAATTCATTTATGTTTCATATACAGCTTATACACATGAAGCTGAACATAACTTTATACAATATTTTAATTTTTTTTTTTTGAGACGGAGTTTCGCTCTTGTTGCCCAAGCTGGGGTGCAATGGCATGATCTCAGCTCACTGCAATGTCCACCTCCCGGATTCAAGTGATTCTCCTGCCTCAGCCTCCTGAGTGGCTGGGATTACAGGCATATGCCACCATGCCCTGCTATTTTTTTGTATTTTTAGTAGAAATGGGGTTTCTACATGGTAGCCAGATGGTCTTGAACTCCTGACCTCAGGTAATCCGCTCGCCTTGGCCTCCCAAAGTGCTGGGATTACAGGTGTGAGCCACTGCGCCTGGCCAATGAAATTTTTTGAATAAACTGTGTTGTATGCCTACATTTTGACTGTGACCCATCACATGAGCTCAGGTGTGGAATATTCCACTGTGGCATCATGTCAGCACTCAAAAAGTTTTGGATTTGGGAGCATTTTAGATTTTGGATTTTCAGATTAGGGATACTCAATTGTAGTAGGTTGTCACCTCTACTTCTGACCGACTGGCTATAAATTGGGATTCTGATGACCCCTCCTCTGATTCCTTTAATTTACTAGAGCAGCTTACAGAACTCAGGGAAACACTTTATTTGTGTTTACCCATTTATTATTGCAAGGAATACAGATGAACAGCCAGATGGAAGAGATGCACAGGGCAAGGCCTGTGGGAAGGGGTGAGGAACTTCCACACTTCCTTCCTTGTGGGAGGGGGCATCTACCTTCCAAGCACATCCAGCACCTCCACGTGTCTCACTATCCTGAAACTCTCCAAACCCAGTCCTTTTGGATTTTTATGGAAGCTTCCTTATGTAGCCATGATTGATTACATCGTGGGCCATTGGTGATTAAGTCAACCTTTAGCCCCTCTCCCTTCTCCAGAGGTTGGGTGATAGGACTGAAGTTCCAGCCCACCTATTAGTTGGTTGGTTCTCCTGGCAACCAGCCTCCTATCCTGGGGCTGGACAGGAGCCCCAGCCACCAGTTATTTCATTAGCACACAAAAAGAACTTAAACACTTTGTTGGAGAGTCCAAGAATTTTACTATCTGTGTGCCAAGAATCAGGAGCAGAGACCAAATATGTTTCTTATTGTATGTATTTCTTACTGTATCACACTATCACAGCTACTATAACAAAAATACCATAGACGGGTGTCTTAAACAATAAACATTTATTTCTCACAGTTCTGGAGGCTGGGAAATCCAAGATCAGGGTGCCAGTAGATCCGGCGTCTAGTGAAGGCTTGCTTCCTGATTTGTAGACAGCTATCTCACTTGTATCCTCACATGGCCCAGAGAGAGATCATCTCTCTGGTGTCTCTCAGAAGAGCACTAATCCCTTTCACAAGGGCTCCACCCTCATGACCTAATTACCTCCCAAAGTTCCCCTATCTAAATACCATCACATTGAGGATTAGGCTTCAACATATAAATGTTGGAGGAACATAAACTATCAGTCCTTAGGATGTTTCCCAACTCTAATGTTGCAATATACAAGGCAAAGATCTTATGATTACCCAACTCTGGTTCATAAACTCCTGAAGAATCTGTCCAACTACAATGAATAAATATGGTTCCTCCAGATTGCTAGATTGAATATTTTTGACATGAACTCAGAAGCTCTTCTTAGATTTTTTTTTAACCTCCTAGAAGCTGGTTTAATTTCTTTCAGTTCAGTGCCTTGCATGGAGCCATATAGATTTGGAGCTTTGGGGAGGTTTTGGGTGATGTTTGCAGATCTAATGTGTAATGATGACAGCAGTAGACAAAACGTAGAATTCAGAGCAGCACTGACTAAGAATGAGGCAGGGCTAAAGAGTAAAGTTATACATATTAGCTTTTGCCTTAGGCTCTATTTCTTTTTTGAATCTCAGAACTGGGATAGAAGAAGAATATCCCCCAGCCCTTCTTTTATAGAGAAGGAAACAGGGACTGAGAGTGATTAGGTCCACCTGAGGGCATATGTGATGAAGCTGGGACAACTACTCAACTGCCCTGTAACGTAGTGATTAGCTTCCTAGTGGTTTCCAGTGTACTTCATTGGAAAATGTTATGAAGGTTACTATAGGCTGCCCTTTCCATCCATTGGTATTGAACAAGATGCCAAATATTTTACAGATTTAAAAAATTACATCTTTTCTCATGATCCCTACCTTGGGTTTCTCAGAGAATTTCTGACTCTGTGCTGTATAGTCCTGATCATAAGTGTTTCTAGGAGCCTGTGTGTGATCAGCTAATTATAACTTAATAGAGAGTAGCCACAACATCATGGCACTCTCTCTCATTACTCTCAGCAATAAAATTGTCTCCATTCAGTCCTCACAACTTACATTTAGAGTGGTAATGTTTTTCTTCCATCCTCACTGCAAAGTGGGTTCTAGGTCAGCAGTGTGTTCAAATCAAGAAAATATCGTTAGTCTATCCAAAAGTGCTTGGCTTCCATTTCCCCATGATTTGTTAGCTGTGCATCAAACAAGTGCCCCATGTATCTAATGCTGATCAAAGAGAATGACAAGAGAAGATAGCTTTTGTGTGAGGCCTGGCCCAGAGCTGAACAGCTGAGACCTAAGATGCTTGTCTCCTTCAAGAGTATGAGCTGGGCGGGGCGCGGTGGCTCACACCTGTAATCCCAGCACCTTGGGAGACCGAGGCGGGTAGATCACAAGGTCAGGAGTTGGAGACCATCCTGGCCAATATGGTGAAACCCCGTCTCTACTAAAAATACAAAAATTAGCTGGGTGTGGTGGCAGGCGCCTGTAGTCCCAGCTACTCAGGAGACTGAGGCAGGAGAATTGCTTGAACCCGGGAGGCAGAGGTTGCAGTGAGCCAAGATCGTGCCACTGCACTCCAGCCTGGGCAACAGAGCGAGACTCTGTCTCAAAAACAAACAAATAAATAAATAGTATGAGCTCTTTAGTGGCAGAGCTTGGGCCATAGTTCCTCTGAGCTTGTTTTCTCATCTGCAGAACTTGGATACTGGTAACACCCCCACCCAGTAGCCCACCCTACTGGGCTGTGGTAGACATCACGTGAGTGCAGTGTGAAAGTATTTTGTAAGGTATATGTCTACGTTGAGGTATTTATTGCTTTTTAACTTATGATATTCCCTTGGGCCTTCATCTTTTATTAGGATTTGATATATACTAGATTTCTAGTATATTTCCACAAATGCTGCTTTCTGTACTGCAATTAAATTGTCTTAGTAGCACAGGGAATGAATTAGCTCTGGCTGGAAGTGGAAAATTTGAGAATATTGATTTTCTCAAGTATCAAGGAAATTTAACTTCCTTTATAGGATTGCTTCTATAAATGAAATCAGAAACTCTTGTATTTTTCAGAATGCATTTTAATGGTATGCCATCAGCTAAAAAGCAAAAATATATGAAAGTTTATAGAGTTTTGACATGTTGTTTATGTTTAGAAGTCTTTGAAAACATTGTCAAAATTTATGTGTTGAACTCCAGGTCCCCATGAAATCATGGGCTCCATAGCTGAACGAGTTCTTAAGGAGATCTATTTTATTGTGCTCTGCTGAGCAGAATGTACACAGTAATAAGTCCAGCTCAACTGCTTGCTTTATACAGAAATCAGACATTCAGGCAAGAAAGCAAAGTGCTTTAATCATTAAGCACTTACAAAAAGGATTATAACTACCTCCGGGAGTCCAAGAATTTAGAATTATTCTCTATTCCCTCCCACGTGTGTTCGACTAATATAACACGCCAGTTCTTAGGAGGATTTTTCTGTCTATTTTTCTGTTGCTGTTTTTATCAAGGTCTGGGTTTTTCACCCAGGTCATTGTGAGCTCTTGACAGGCTCCTGTGGCCACCACCACCTCCAGCTTGCAGATGTGCAGAGGGCTCCCTTTGTGTCTCATTCTCCTTTCCCCTGTGACCACTGCACCCTGAGCAGACCAGAATTACATCTCCTACAGCAGGGTTTCTCCTCAGTGATGCTGGTGATGACTTTAAAAACCACTCTCCTTTGTTTCATATTTTAGGGACACAGCGGGTCAGGAAAGATTCCGAACAATCACAACGGCGTACTACAGAGGAGCCATGGTGAGTGTGTTGTAGGGTTTTGTAACTCTTCAGGTAGAAGTAAAGCATGAATGTTTGTTTGCCAAGATTATAGGATTCAAGCTGGAGTCTAGTACAATGGAGAAAAATACAATTTATGATGGGGAAACAAGACATTTAAAGGGTTTTTTGGTTGTGTTTAGCAACTGTGTACTTTGCCAGTGGTCTTCATCATAATAATCAGGTGATTAACTTATAGATGTTCTAGAACTCCTCCACACATTCTGATATGATTCTATATTTTCATTATTTTTCCTTTTATTAATACCTTATGGCAATCTTAGCAAACCACAAGCCCTATGACTAAGTATTCCTTTCTTATACTCTCTTGTCATTCAGCCCTGCCACCATTATCTCTTACCTCACCACCTCCACAACATCCACTGCTGTGGCTCATGTCTCTGTCATCCCCCTGACCACATTGTGCCAGCTGGCCGGAAAGAATCTGGTGAATCTTGACTACCAAGTTCTTTGCTGAATCCAGGCATTTTCCTTGCTGTCATAACTTTGTCACTTGTTATGTTCTATCCTAAGATGTTTCATCTATTCAGTGCACTTTTATTGCTTTTTGGCTCTGGGCAGTGTGATGCTAGGAGTACAGTGGTGAGTAAGGCAGCTTGGAAGCCGCCTTACTTCCATGAGCTGTGCTTAACCATGCCTAGAATGTCAGGTTCAGACCACGGCTTTATCTCTGGTGTTTAGGCCTAAGCCAAGCACAAGTTGGAGTCTTGAATTATGATGAAATCCAGTATGCTCAGAGAGTCTGACGGTTGAACAACTGAGATCGTGAACCCCAACTGGTAGATTGTAGGGTACCAGCTGCCATCATTCCCAACTCATTGCTTAAAAGATTCTTGTATTCCTGGAGTGGTGCTAGGGTGACAGAGCTGAAGGGGTGATAGCTGTCCCCACGCCTCCAGGAAGATGTGGTCTGAACCCACAGATCCCCTCACTGACATGCTGCCCTTCCTCCTTCACCACGACTCACTCTCCAGTGTTGGAGTAGCATCATAACTCATCCCCACAAGAAGAGTAGGGATTTCTTTGTAAAGCTGAAGTGTACCACTAACCATTTTGTGTGTATTTGTTCCGCACACTCCACCCTATAATACTTTTAAGATTGTAAAGGGTCATCGTTTTAATAAAAATAGCTGCCAGCCACTCTCTATTTTGCTTAGACTGGAATCAAAGGGAAGGGGCTTATTATATGTGCCAGGAAGACATTTGTTTGTCGTTTGTTTGTTTCCCCCAGGGAGGAATTTTAGGGATAAAAAGAACATCATAACAGGGATGATTTGGAATAGTTTACAGGTAATTCTGATTAGAGGCATCTTAGACACACATGCCTTTCTGTTGAGTAGTTTTTTGCATGCTAGGAATGATGTGCTGACACCATTTGCATGCTCATTTTCACTGGAGGGTGGGCAGGGGCACTTAGAATATGAGAGTAAATGTTTCGCTTGAATGTCTGGCTGTAGTCCATTGTATGAAGAAAGAGGGCATGGAAATATATTAAATAATATATTTAGATTTGAGGATTGTCTTTTAATTTATTTACTGCCTAGTCTTTCCTCACATTACTTCAGATAATTAGAAATTGTTGTTATTCTAAATAGTATTATCTTCCACATTTTGAAGGTAGAGATTTCTGTCTTTGTTCTCCTGTATACAATGCCAGTGTCTGACACGTAGTAGAGGCTCAATAAATGCTTGCTAAAGGGGTGAATCGGTGGGATATTTTAGACCTAGAGACCATCTTAGATAAATCTTTAGGAAATCCTGCTGTGCCTGAGTCTTGGATCTCTCAAGTCATCTGTTCCAGTGGGTTGCGGGGCCCGCCATTTTCAGCAAGTAGTGGTTATGGCAGGTTTAGTTTGGTTGATTCAGGTATGTGGCATGTTGACAAGCACTATACTGGAGTCTGTCACCATGTCACTTCAAACACAGCAGCATTCGTAGGCATAGCAGTGATCCTGATGGACATTTGGGCTTTGGGGAAAAACAGGACCATATCATTACATTATTAACATTTCTCATAGATCAGCACCATCTTCTGAATTCTTAGGAAGCTGTTCTTCTTGTAGATATATAGTAGATACATAAAGTTTTAACTGATACACTTGAATTTGTTTTTCTAACTGATTCATAATATCTTATTAGCTTAAAAACATAATAGGTGAATGATTTCTGCTATTGAAACTAAAGATATAAATTAATGATAACTGCCATTTATTGAGTCCAAGCTATGTCCCAGACTCTAGGTGAAGTAGTTTACACATATCTCAGTAGATCCTCAAAACGATCTAGCGTGGAAGAAGTATTGTCCTCATTCTGTAAATGAGGTCATGGAGACTGAGAGGAATAAAATAATGTCTACAGGATCTCCCAGTTAATATGTGCTGGAGTCTGAGTTAGGAGCCTCAGACTCTAGAGCTTGTGTTCGTAACACCACACCATGTTCACACTTTCTGTGCTAACCAGTGAAATGAAACTTCATGATGAAATGGCATGTATGATCTGGGTTGTTCACACAGTCCAAAGAATGGTAGAGCTAGGGCAATAATTTGGGTAATTTTAATATTGTAGGCAGCCAAACACATTGCATCAGGAATTATGCAGAATCCACTTTGATTTATTTTTATTGTGGTAAAATATACATAATAGAACATTTACCATTTTGACGATTTTAAAATGTATAGTTCTCTACTTTGACCTTTTTTTTTTTTTTTTTTTTTTTTTTGAGACAGAGTTTCACTCTTGTTGCCCAGGCTGGAGTGCAATGGTGCGATCTCGGCTCACTGCAACCTCCACCTCCCGGGTTCAAGTGATTCTCCTGCCTCAGCCTCCCAAGTAGCTGGGATTACAGTCATGCACCACCACGCTCAGCTAATTTTGTATTTTTAATAGAGACAGGGTTTCACCATGTTGGCCAGGCTGGTCTCGAACTCCCGACCTCAGGTGATCCACCTGCCTTGGCCTCCCAAAGTGCTGGGGATTATAGGCGTGAGCCACCACGCCCAGGCTGACCTTTATAAATAAAATTATTTACATTGAGACAATTGTAAAATCGCCTTTCCAGCATGTAACCGAAGTGAAGCGTTTGTATTTGAGGCTAGAGGAAGGGAGGATAGAGGAGTTGTTTGTCATTTAAACAATAATGTATGTTTTTCTGGTTGCAAAAAGGATACATATACTATAGGAAACTTTGAAAATCCCAAGAAATCATCTAAAATCCCACTACTCTGAGAGATATATTCTGTTAACATTTAATTTCCTGTATTCTTTGTCTATATGTATATGTGTGTTTTATATGGTATATATTTATTTATGTTTATATTTCATATTTACTTACAAAGTTGGAATCCAGACCTGGAAGGACTTTCCCCTACCATACTAAGGAATTTTAATTTAAATTTGAGTGTAATGGAGAGGTGCTAAAGAGATTTGATCAATGAAGTGATAGCTCTAGTGCCCTTATGGAAAGTGGATTAGAGGAGGCTAAGAATGAAAGCAGGGAAGCTGGATGTGGTTGCTCATGCCCAGAATCTCAGCAGCTCAGGAGGCGGAGGTGGGAGGACTGCTTGAGTTCAGAAGTTTGAGGCCAGCCTGGGCAACATAGCGAGACCTCGTCTCTTAAAAAAAAAACAAGAAAGAAAAAAAAAGAATGAAATTCATCAGGGAAATCAATTAAAGATGATGGGAATCCAGGTAAAGACTAATTTGTGAGAATCTGAATAAGGCTGTGTGTGTGATAGGTAAGATTCTGGAATATTTAGGACATTGGGTCTCCAGGACTTAGTGACTGATTGGCTATAGCAAAGAAGACAGCTCCCACATGTGTGCTTGGACTGGCTGACTGGGTTGTATTACTTTCACCAAAATGGTAATACAGGGACAAATAGAAGATTCAAAGGAGACAAGACAACCTCATGTTTTACTTTGTTGAGTTTGCCGTGATCACAGGGGTTATCTATTGGCCAATGTCCAGACAGTGGTCTCTCGAGTACCCCAGCCTAGCCCTTCAGCCTCAGCTTGTGCCCTCCACCCATTAGATCTGTGCAGCCTTGCCAAGCTGACTTTCTTTCACTCAATCCAGTGGTCTCTGGTTCAACATCAGTAAGAGATTTACAATGTTTCTGCTATTTGCCAGGTACCTGGGCTTCCCCTCTTCACCCTAGCTCCTAGTTCTTTGCCTAGTTTAAGTCTACTAAGTTCCCCGGCTTTGGCTTTAATGTCATTTCCTCAGGGAGGCCTCCCCTGCCCACTCCAGCCCCTCAACCAGATTCAGTTACATCCCTAGCATATGAGCTCCCCGTGCATCTTCATAGCAATTGTCAAAATTATGATTAGTTGTATAGATATTGGTTCATTGTCTGTTGTCTTTGCTAGCCATCTACAAGAGGAAGAGACCTTTTCTATCTTGTTCATTGCTAGTAGCATCTGGTATAGTATCAGGCACACAGTAGGTGCTCACTAAATATTTGTGTAGTAGATGGACAGGTGAGTAGTTCTAGCACTTAGTACAGAAGTGTGGTCTGGGGGTATAGATTTTGCAATAGCATACCGGTGTTAGTTTAAACATTTGGAAGGTAAACCTTTTAGAAATACCAGACATGGGCCGGGCGCAGTGGCTCACGCCTGTAATCCCAGCACTTTGGGAGACTGAGGTGGGCGGATCACAAGGTCAGGAGATCGAGACTATCCTGGCTAATATGGTGAAACCCCGTCTCTACTAAAAATACAAAAACTTAGCCGAGCGTGGTGGCGGGCACCTGTAGTCCCAGCTACTCGGGAGGCTGAGGCAGGAGAATGGTGTGAACCTGGGAGGCAGAGCTTGCAGAGAGCGGAGATCGTGCCCCTGCACTCCAGCCTGCGTGACAGAGGGAGACTGTCTCAAAAGAAAAAAGAAAGAAAGAAAGATATATCAGACATGGAGTCTTTAAAAATATGACGAGAATGCCTTTCATTAAACCAGTATAACAAATACATTGGATTTTAAGTGTCTGTGATGTACTTAGATAAATAGTGACATCCTATTTTTTGATCAACATATATTAAAAATAATTTTAAATCAGTGTAGTCTCAATCTTAGTAGAACAGTAGGAAGCAAGATAGTTTCTACTTGGAATAAACAAGTGCACAATGGAAGTGACGAACTCTTACTCCCAGTGTTATCTGTGTTTTGACTGAACACTCAGCCCCAGTTGGTGCTGATTGTTTTCATGTTAGGCCAGGTGGAAAGGGTGTCTCACCTTTACCACAATCACCAGTTCATTAAAGGTTAACAGTGAAAATGTTAACAGGGTTTTTATTTACATGGTGAGACCAGTGGAATAATGTATTTATTGATTTTTGTTTCTCTGTACTTTTCAAATTTATTATGAATCCTTTTGTAAAGGGAAAAATGGACAAACAAAAGGTTTCTGGAGGGTAGGAGTACATTGACATTATATACTATAACTTTAAATATATAAAGTACTAAATAAAGGTCTTTTTCCCCATTACAGGGCATTATGCTGGTCTATGACATCACAAATGAAAAATCCTTTGACAATATTAAAAATTGGATCAGAAACATTGAAGAGGTATGTGCGGAAAGAGAATGGTGACATTGGAGAAGAGTCCTGCTGGGTGCTTGTAAAAGGCTCCTCTGTCTCTGCAAGGCAGCTGAGCTGCTTAGAAGCAGGGCATGGGCAGGTTGGGCCTTCTCGCTCTGAAGAGCTCCATAAATCTCTGGTGCTGCCAGTCTGACTACTGGGGCATAGGGGAACAGAGAAATAATGTCACAAGATTTTAAGTTTGGGCCAGATATGGGAAATAATTTAATCCTAGATCACATTTTACACATGAATAACAGACCAGAAAGAAATGATTTGCCTGTGCTCATACAGCCTTTAAAAAGAAGAGCCAGGATTAAAACATCTGGTTCCCAACTTCTATCCCACCATGCTGTTTGGCTAGCAACAGTATCTCTTTACCCTGGCAACTTTTTACCCTTCTGACATTTTCTCCATCTTAGATATTTGAAGATTGTTTTAATCCCAGGATAATTGGTATTAAGATTTTTTAATGTCTTTGTCACTTAAGAAAGAAATCTGACTGATACAATTTTGTACATGTTTCTATTAACTTAGATGAATTTCTTTTTAAAATAGTTCAGAATCCAGAATGCCTTCTCCATTGGTTCACTCAGTACCAAGTTTTTGTCCTTCTTTGACCCAAATATTTGGAAATTTTGTCATTAGATCACCGTAAGCTTTATTTGTGTGTGTTCCACCTTCTTTCCAAACCTCGGGAAGAAGGTTTGCACAGGCTCTGTGAGGGCTCTTGTGCTGTAGCTTTGCCCCTCCTCCCATCTTTAAACTTTTCTCTGAATTAGGCCTTGTGTGAGTGAAAGATTATTTGTCTTATTAAATTCATGTGTTTCTGACAAGTTGGATTTGTCTAGTAAGTAATGGGTTTTTCTCAGGCTGTTTTTATAGCATGCTATTTTCTCCCTGCAGCATGCCTCTTCCGATGTTGAAAGAATGATCCTGGGTAACAAATGTGATATGAATGACAAAAGACAAGTGTCAAAAGAAAGAGGGGAGAAGGTAAATGTGAATGGAATGAATAAAGGTTGGATTCTACTCACATTAAGCATTTCTTTTCTTCATATTGTTTAATTATTGATTTAAGTTTTTTTTTTTAATCTGTGTTTTAATCCTTTTAAATTGGATATCAACAACAAAGAGATGTAATCCATACTTGAATGGTGTGAATTAGTATTCGAGATCCAGCTCCCTATACTGTGTGGTCATGACTCATTCCTAAAGAATTTGCTAATGTTTTCTGGGAGATACAAATTGGTCCTTTCTCAGATTCCTGCAGCTTAGAGTTCAGGCTGTTTCTTCCAGATCTGTGTGAAAATGCCCAGTTTTGAAGCTAAAGTAATTCATTCTTTTTTTAAAAAAAGTTACAGGGTAGGTGAAGTTTCAACAGGAATCATTTTCCAATTCATTTTTTCCCCTAAGAATATTTTACTATACATTAGCTTTAGGTTTTATGGATAAATTCCTTGTAATTGATCAAGCTATGGATGTCATTTATATGTTGTTTATGGGCATTTCTCTCTTTTGTGTCCTCCTGTAAAGCAAAGGGATATTTTGTGCACATATTTACTTCTGTGGCAGATTCTAAGTTGACTTAGAAGCTTCACTTTTTAAGTCTTGGAATTTTGCTTTAGCCTTTGAAAAAATTATATATGCAAATTGAATTTTCTTTTTTCTTTTCTTTTTTTTTTTTTTGAGACAGAGTCTTGCTCTGTCTTCCAGGCTGGAGTGCAGTGGTGTATTCTCAGTTCACTGCAACCTCTGCCTCCTGGGTTCAAGCAATTCTTATGCCTCAGCCTCCAAGAAGCTGGGATTATAGGCATGTGCCACCACACCCGGCTAGTTTTTGTATTTTTAGTAGAAACGGGGTTTTGCCATGCTGGCCAGGCTCGTCTTGAACTCCCGGCCTCAAGCAGTCCACCTGCCTCGGCCTCCCAAAGTGCTGGGATTACAGGTGTGAGCCACCATGCCTGGCCACATTTTGTTTTTCAATTTAACTGTGAACTTTTGCTAAAGACTTTTTTCCCCTAAAAACATTTACTTAATTTTAGCGTTGTAAATAAACTAAGAACTTTTTGAGGAATATATGAGAGTTCACAGTTTGTCTTAATAGAAATCAAAGCTTGAATACTTTAGTATTTAAATTTTTGTTCAGTTCTGGACTCATTTATTAAAAGTAATTAAGGCCTGGCACGATGGCTCACACCTGTAATCCCAGCACTTTGAGAGGCCAAGGTGGGCGGATCACGAGGTCAGGAGTTCAAAACCAGCCTGACCAACATGGTGAAACCTTGTCTCTACTAAAAATACAAAAATTAGCTGGGCATGGTGGCACGCACCTGTAATCCCCGCTACTCAGGAGGCTGAGGCAGAAGAATCGCTTGAACCCGGGAGGCAGAGGTTGCAGTGAGCTGAGATAGTGCCACTGCACTCCAGCCTGGGCAACAGAGCGACGCTCTGTCTCAAAAAAAAAAAAAAAAAAGTAATTAAAAGTCAGTATAGTTTTTTGTTTTTTATTTGAGACGGAGTTTCACTCTTGTCATCCAGGCTGGAATGCAATT